AAAAAAAAAAAAAAAAAAAAAAAACCGTAGCATTTTTTTTTCGTGTAAATGTCAAATGCATAAAATTAGAGCTGAAAACATCTGTACCAACTGGAACTACCAAATCACCCGAGTTTGTTTTACTTTCGTCATGACATATTGTTCTTTCATGTGAATAAATTTCAATTGATTTTGACAAGTTTGTTTTATATGTACCAATCAACGTGCGATCTTTTATTTTCAATGCAGTGTTGTCTATGTCAACTAATTCATTATTAGCTGCCAAGCCTTAATCGACTGAAAACTCTCGTGATTCGGTTTATAAGCAGATTTATCAAAACAGACCTCAGTGCAGTGGAGCAAAATTTAAACCCAGTATCCGAGGCAGGGACAGTCTCCGTGTGGTAAAAAGACGAAGTCTTGCGATCGTTTGGAACTTTGCGTTTTGAGGTGAGTTGTTTACATTGTTTCAGTGGCACGTTGTAATTTGTTCATTTCACGAAATCTTGAGCTCTCGGCAGGAAATTTCGGGAACTATAATATTGAAAAGATACTATTCATTGTATAGAGCTTTATTTATTTATTTGTCCCAGCAAATTTATATTCTTAACAGCGCTCTTGCGTGGAACAACTTGGTTACGACCAGTTACAAACAATTTATTTTACAAAACGTTTCTTTCATTTATTTGGCGAATAAAAGCGCAATTGTGCACTGCTTGTCATTACATCTTACTGCGTTCCGATTCATGCAGTATTCTTAAAGAACTCAATGTCCTGAAAATAGCTTTATGATATGCCTGGGTCGCATATCAGAATTCTATTGACAAAATGAAATGACCGAATTTCATTTCAGTCAACCGCCGTTACATTATGATAATATGAAATAAATGATAAATGGTATAGCAGTACTATTTCAATTTAGGACAAAAATTTCTCTGCGAGTTTATACACAACGTACCATATGTGGAATAATGTAAAAATATGCACAATTATCGAATTTAGGGTGTGAATCAATCTCAATCATGATCTCCTCAATTTTCAGCTCGCTGGGGCGTGCAACGGGAGGTTAATATTAATAATAATCTTCGACAAAAGAAATCTAATGATCTGTTAGAAGTGCCTTTAAACTTAACAATAAAGAACTTTATTAGAATAAAGTTTGAAGACTCTTAAGAATGAATGAATTAAAGTTCGAACAGCATCAATCTAAAGGTCAAAAACTTTGACCCTGTGCCGTCACGTTGACGCGGGAGATTGTTTGTTTGGTGGAACAAAAACAAGTCAACACAACAATTTTTTTTTCCTCCCACGCCGAAGACATGTCTACTCTTGTTCATCGAGATTCAACAACATGCGCATTCGTCGTTTCATAAGCCTTAATCCCATTTTTATGCCCTTTTTATCCCATTTGAAAACTATCCAGTCGTCAGTTTTATAATCGAATCACACATGCAAAATGTTGATCAATCAGTCATTATTTTCCTTCGGGAGTGCTGTGAAGCGCTGACTACTTTTTCAGTCGTTTGCTTGGAAAACTTTATATGGTTAATAACCTAGGAAAAGGTTTCCTCATGAAGGTTGTTGTAAAACTAAAACCGCTCTTCAATTTTCAGGTATTTTATTTGTATTGTTTCAAATATCTAAAGTGAAACGAAACGAATCGGAGATCAAGTGCGAGCCAGTATCACACGAATGTCACGGGATCCTGCAGTGTTGATTGCAAGAAGTACCGTTATTGAATGTCGAAATCCCTAAAAGTAGCCAATTTTTTAAGTTCTTTTATTTAATAATGTCAAATGAAATTGAGTTTTTATCAGTGCAATGCAATAATCTCGCCGCCTGATCTGTCACGCGCAGAAATAGGAAACTGAAACCTCTGACGTGTGTTTTTCGCTTTTTGCACACTTCCGGGGTAGTTCTTTCTTCGGTGAATGCTGACATTTCCTTATAAATTTACAAATTACAAAAAATTGTGGGCTGTTTATGCCGTCTACAGGCCAAATGTTCGCTTGAAAAGGCAAAGAATCGACAAACGTGAAGGCTAAAGAGACACTTGCGTGACACACGTGACGGCGTGACGTGGTGAACGCTCAAAACTCCCTTTCCGGTTTTCCTGTAACGGGCTAAAACTGTTTGAGTATTATTTATTAGGAGGCGAGACGCCCAAAAATAGATAAATAGATTGGGTATCGTTCCCAAACGGCTTGAAACAGCATCAGAAGAGTTTACCAGAATACGGAAGGACATCTAGCTCCAAATTCAAACGAGGTAAGAATGAAAATACATTTGGTCTTGATATAGCTTGTACTCAATTCGTCGTTAAACAAGATTCCTTCAAGGATTATGCAACGATATTGTACTTCGTCTTGCCGTCCGCTCTTACATGCATGACCAAACAAATTCCAAAGCGAATTGCGAATAGTTTACCTTAAAGTTTCCTGAGCGGTTTGCGCGTCAAATCACTGAGTAATTTCCCGAGAAAATAGAACTCTTTGAACGACCTTGAATCACTTTCGATCAATTTCCCACGAAGGTTTCTAAGCCTGGAATATCGCCAGATCTCGGCGGAGGTTCACAATCTCACGGCCATGGTAATAAAAACCCAAAACATCTCATGCAAATTAGCAGTTATTGTTATTTCTTGTCTCTGGAAAGTAAAATAATCAACCTCCTGGAGTCTTGGCCCGTTGTTTATTTTCTCAGTCTGTATATTTACCTCGTCCTGATACCTTGACAATTTGCCTGATAATCTTTGAAAATAAATTACATAGCAGGCGACAATCATAGGACAAAAATAGAACTGAGGACTATGAATAGACTACTAAGGACATGACAGCCGCTATAAATGCATGACCAGGATGATAAATGGGTTATTTGGGAGGAATATATATTGCACCACTAATTTGTCCCGTTTACGAGACAAAACTGCCACGTGTGGCTCATGAGATTGTGCTCACTTCCGTAACTTTGGGTTCGTATATATATGTCCGCGCTTTCTTGTGATCATGTCCCATCGTTTGGTTCGGTAGAAGCTAGGGATAGAATCACTGAGTATATTGATTGGTTCAAGACAGAGAACGGGGAACGTGCAGACCGAGATAGGTTTCCGGCAAATAATTTATTTATTTTTTTCTGATTATTTTTTTTTTAGGTCATAAGTTCAATGCAGTTTCTGAGTATCGCGGAACACGTATTTGAACAGTAGTAATTTTAGAAAGTTATTTCAGGTACAGGGGTAATCGGGCCCGTTTGTGTGAAGGCCTGAGTAATGGGTTCTGCATTTCAAAATTGAGCATACCTAAATTTAACATTTTATGTCCGAGAGAAAAAAAAAACAACAAATATATAAATAAATAAAACAAAACAAACAGCTTTTGTTATACTGCTTGGTTCTAGACATGCTACAGCTACAATAAGCTCAACATTCGTCGAATAACAACGGAAATCTCTGAATATACTGTAAGGATATCGTATGAAAATTAAGTCTAGACAGTAACTGGTACTGTAGGAGGTTATTATGAGAAAATACTCTTCACTTAGTGCTATATCTAAAGAAGCGCTAACAGACTTTTTCCGTGTGTAGGAGGACTGCTTACCTTCCCTGTGGTGAGGGGGGGAGGGGGAGGGTGAGTGGGGGTTTGTCGTCGGAATTGAGCGGTGCATCTGACATATAACAGTTACATGGAAAACGTTATTCATAAATAGCAGACTTTTCAAGGAACAAAGAAAGCATTTTCAAGCTGGGGCCCTCAATGAACGCGCTTATTGCATCATACTTGATTTGGATCTTGAATTTGAATCCGAGTTTGTAGTACTCCGCACATGAAGCGATTAGGTGAAAACCCATCATGTTATACCCTTGAAATCAAAGAGTTAAATCTTTATGAACCTTATAGAAACACAACTGCAATACTGCGCCGTCACAACAGAAGCAAACGAGCGCGGCCGGAAACAGAAACATTGAAGTGTGCGTTTGGACACCGCTGCAAATAACCATATTTTTGTGCGCAGTTATTCATAGCTAGATTGGGCAACGTTTTTCGCATGTTTTGAAAGGAAGTCGATTAGTGGTTACTCGGATTCGTTATCAAAACTCTTAACTTTTCTCGTACTTTTTCTTTTCTAGTAAATTGGAACATATGAGAGAAATACAGAATTTAGTGCGATCAACAAATTCGATTGCACGCTTTTGTTACAATTAACGCTGTTTTATTATTACTTGTCAGTGCCACTCCGTAAGTACGGTTACACTCGTTTGTAGCTGGACACGATCATGCATTCTATGGCAGATGTTTCCAGCTCCGCGTAGATTTATGTTCTTCTTCACGTTAGACCATAACGCGTGTTAATCTGAAACCAATCTGTGATAACCGTGACTGAACTTATCTTGTTCTGTTCAATCTTTGCAGCCATGCCCAATCAATTTCAAAACGAGTGCTTAAGCGCCCACAATAAGTACCGAGCCCAGCACGGAGCACCTCCGTTAAAATGGTCCTCAAAACTGGCTTCGGACGCAGAAAAATGGGCCAAGCAGCTAGTGAAGCTAAACCGCCTTCAGCACTACAGTGGGGATGATGGAGAAAACCTTGCATATGCTTCAGGTATATTATCCAAGCTTTTTATTTTTCAATTCAGTTTTTGCCTGTTGTTTAGAATTGGTGAGTCTTGAACGTTTTTAGGAAGCAGTGGTTCCTTTTTAACGGCTCCAATTCAAATGATGAAAGTTTCAGCAATTATAATTGTACGCTACTTTTTGGCGCCATTTGAGTCTTCTTGCTTTCTACGTGGCCGATGAATTATCTGTAAACCAAGTTCGTGGACGAACCCCTAGGTATGCCATTTAAATGAAGGCTATCAAGCGGTATTAATTATCCTGTCTTATCAGTATTTACAGTACAGAATGGTTCTAAAATTTGAGTTTATGGATGAAATCTTATCTTACTAAGCTGTTGAGCAAACTTCTGGATGAAGCCTTTGAGATGTAACCATTCAGATAAAAGCTATTGAGGACAAAATGCTTATTGAAACATTTGATATATTCTTTTGTTTAATGTTGTACTTGGCGGATCCTTGACAGTGAAAGAGGTAAGACTTTTCAACCTCGTTTCCAAGGCTTTTCCCCTGGGAACGAGGTTGAAAACTTGTATAAGGCGCACACACACGCTACCAAGTTACTCGAAACAAAGACCCTTCACCTGACTTAGTAAACCAGGTCAAAACAGACCTCTTTCTTGGAAAGCGTAACGCCTCTGTCAATTTCTTCGTTTCATCCAAAGGATATGAAATGACAGGTCAAAGGGCGGTGGACATGTGGTATGAGGAGATCAAAGACTACAGTTTTGGCAACCCGGGATTTTCTTCAGGAACTGGCCACTTCACTCAGGTTGTCTGGATAGGCTCCCAGGAGATGGGTGTCGCCAAAGCTAGCAACGCTAATGGGACACAATTCGTGGTCGCACGTTACTCCCCTGCAGGGAATGTGCTTGGGCGCTTCCCAGAAAATGTCAAACCGAAGGGGTCGAAAATATCCAAGGACGCTGGTAAACAAACGGAACAGCCACGTGGTAAGCCGACGGGTCATGGGAACGTGCACGTGACTATCAAAACCGGTGGAGATAAAGACAAGCCACGTAAGTTTGAATTGCATGAATAACAACGACTTTTTTTTTGGCTTGGTCTTAGTAGAGCGTTAGTTTACGACATGTCTGTCGCGCAAACCAAACAGATGACGTAATAACATGTCCAATTGGGTGTCTGGAAAACCCGAATAGCTAATAGCGAATAGTTGCGAATAGCAAACAGCGAATAGTCCCGAATAACGAATAGTGCGAATAGTCTCGAATAGTCGCGAACAGTGTCGAATAGTGGCGAATAGTGGCAAATAGTGGCAAATCGTAGCAAATAGGGTACCC